AAAGAATAAATTCTCAAGGTATCTGAAAGGACATGATGCAAAATGCTGGGGAAGGATGGCAATGGAGTCATAGATATTACTACAACTGAAAAAAAGGAGTTGTGTTCACAGGGTTTTTTTTTTTACTATGAAAATGTTATTCATTGATAAATTTAGTATGTCATTGAAAGCATTTCATAATCTGACCTCTTTTCCACCTTTCCAGGCTTCTTACACTTTACTCTCTTTCACGAACTTTTATGATCTAGTTGCCCTGTTCTATATGCTTTTCCTTGTATGTGACTCTTCCATTTCCCAACTCCGTGTCTTTGTACTGCTGTCCCCCAGGCCTGTAATGTTTTGGCCTTACCTCTAATTCTTAGCTTCCTTGGCTTCCTTCAAGACTTAGCTTAAATTCCGTCATCTACAGGCAGCTCTTTCTTGTTCCCTTGAGTTGTTGCTAATTCTTCCCCTCAGAGATTACATCCCATCTACTCTATAATTACCTAGTGTGTGCCAAATCTTCATATGTTGTTTTTCCTATCAGACTGTGAGCCGCTTAAGTTCATAGACTGTTTTTACCTTTCTTTGCATAACTAGCACTTAGCACAGTATCAGGCACACTTGTTGATTAGGTGATTTTGACTGCAAAGAGTACTGGATTTATAGTCAGTGGATATAGATTCATATCCTGACTCTGCCACTTACTATTTGTATGACTACGTGCTACTAGTCATTTAACTTTTGGGCCTTAGTTTCCTTATCTGTAAAATAATGAGAGTGGACCTTAAGTGGTGATCCCTGAAGTCCCTTCTAGGTCAAAACCTAAAATCTATGCTTTAAATCTATAAGCTTTCTTTGCTTTTGTGAATTCTATAGCTCCTTGAACTATGAGGAATATCTAGTCCTAGGGGCCAACAGTAAAAATAGATCACCCCATGTCAGTAAGTCATAAAGTAGAACTTTCTGTTGTTCCTTTGCATCAAGAAATAAAATAATGTTTCATCAAAAAAAAATTCCAAAATTATCATTTCCAGGATGTTGCAAAGGTTGGTTCCAATAAAATCCTTGGTTTTCAGAACATATTATAAAGCAACTTACATAAACTGAGGATGTTATGACAAAGAATTAGGCCATAGATACCTACTTTTAAAAAAAACCACTTCTAGCCAAAAGCTAAAAGACACTTACCTATATATACAACATTGTGCCACTATTAATAAAAGAAAAAAAAAGATATTGGATTTGGGGACTGCGTGATATAAATTATAGAGGATAAAAAGTACTACAAATAACAGAATGGAAAAAGAATGAGGAGTATTGTGGTATTAGAAGTGAATAATGGTTACATTAATCTCACATTTTAAAGCCTAGAATTGTGGTTGAATTACACTGGGTTGGACTAAGTGATATCCATGTCTTTTCCAGTTCTAAATCTATTATGCTCAGTATAAATCCTCACAAAAATCTGAAACTAATTTCTTGCCCTGGCCCAGATTTAAGGCTTTCCTTAGAACCGGAAGGTTAAATTGTGTTTCAGCCGTTAGTTTTGTTGTTTATATTATCCTCCTTCACTTGTAAACTCCACAGAACGAAAAATTAACAACATTACCAATCAAACAGAAAGTATTTACCAAACACCTGCCTTGTGTCAGACACATGCTGGGGCAACTAGGTGGCGCAGAGGATAGAGCTCCAGCCTTGAAGTCAGGAGGACCTGAGTTCAAATCCAGTCTCAGACACATAACACACAACACGTACTAGCTGTGTGACCCTGGGCAAGTCACTTAACCCCAGTTGCCTAGCAAAAACAAAAACAAAACAAAAACAGAAGGAGACACACTATGCTAAGCACTGGGAATACAAAGACAAAATGAAATGTTCTCTATCCTCAAGAAGCTTATGAGAGAAAACACATAATTAGAATATATACCAAGTAAGTAGGTTGGGATAGGGAAGGGAACTCCCAGATGAAATTCCTACAAATCCAGGATGGTAACTTCTCTATTACAGTCTTAGAGGACTGTCTAGGGCCCTGAGAGGTTCAGTGACTTGCCCAGTCATATAACTCGTGTGTGTCAGAAGTAAAATTCAAACACTTTCTGGATCTTTCTGGATGGGCCCTTGGCTAGTTTTCTATCTGCCATGTCATGCAGCCTCTAAGTAAATATGAAGTAATTATGAGGTTTGGGTACTAGCTGATGGGGAAATCAGAAAGGCCCACATCTTGGAGGTGGTACCTGAGCCAGGCTGTGAAGGGAACAAGGAATTTTAAAAGGTGAATTTGAGGAATGAATGCTTTCCAGGCATAGGAACAATGGGGTACCCTGGCCATATATATTTATATCCTTAATAAATGTTTGTTCATTGACATATAGAGAAGATGGAATGTTTGTGAGGAAAAGCACGTAGACAATTTGGCTAAAACAAAGAGTTCATGAAAGGAAATAGGATGTAATAAGTCCAGAGAGGTAAGTCTGAGCCAGATTGTGACAATTTTTAATCACCAAACAAGACTTTGTATTTTGTCCTAGTGTCAGTAGGGAGGCACTGGAATTTTTGAGGGGGAGAGGGGATAACATGGTCAGACTCTTGCTTTAGGAATATCATTTTTTCAGCTTTAGGAGGGATGGATTAGAGAAGAAAGGGAGACCAATTAGGAGGTTGTTGGAATAGTACAGGGTGATAGGCAATGCAGGCCTGACTTAGAGTGGTGACTGTGTGTCAAGAGAAGGGGCCGTATTTGAAAGATGTTGGAGAAATAGAATTGTTAAGACTAGGCAACTGATGAGATATTGAGGTTGAGGAAAAGTGAGGAGTTAAGGATGACCTCTCAGTTTCAAACCTCGATGACTAGAAGGATAGTAATGCCTTAAGAGAAATAAGTGTCTTAAAAAGTGAGGAAGAAGAATGAATCTGAGGGCAAAACTAGGGACTCTGTTTTAAATGCCTTTAGAGCATTTAGTTTAAAATGTCCAATATGTGGAACTGGAATGCAGGAGAAAGACAAAAGCTGGATATGTACATGGGGGAGTCATCTGCATAGAGATTGTAATTGAAACCCTGGGATCTAATGAAATCCCCGTGAGGAAAGGGCTAGGGATAGAGTTTAGAGATGCAGCCACAGTTAAGGGTTGGGATGTGGATAGCGATGCAGCAAAAGAGACTGAAGATTTTGACTCAAACAGATAGGACACCTACCCCATGTGAAGTAAAAACCGTACAGGCCTAGAGATAGAGTTATGTTAGGTTTGAAGCCACTAGAAACCACTTGTTCAACAAAATCCATCTCTAAGGGGTTTCCAAGCTAGTGTAGCCTCAGCAGATACTGTGCAGCAGAATCAGAAAGTGAATGGTAAGAAGAAACCAATGAAGCTGGAGTCAAAATGTTTTAGAAGGAAGTTTCTGTAACGTCACTTCAATGGTGTTTATCTCAATAGGTGTTCAATGAAATGCTAAAAATAATGACATAAAGTGACTTAGAGATTTTGTAATTTCTAATGTTCAGTCTCACCTCTACTCAGGTATCTTACACCATCATCTTTTCACTAAATCCAATAGGGTTTTGTGCTAATTTAGGAAACAAAAATAGTATGATGATTTTTCCTTTCACTGTCTCTTCCCTTTAAATAATATTTTCAAGTAGGAAAGCATTCTAATATACTGTTTCTCACTCTTTAGAATTAACTTTCTGGCAATGGAATAAAAATACCCACATGTGTCTTAACTAGTGGCTAGTATCTATGGCTAAAATTAGCCTTTTCCTGACAATTGGGCCATTCAAAATGGCTATTCAAATCTATCTAAAGAGACTGATGGTTCATGCTAATGCTGATGATGTGAATTTACATCCCTATCCACTTAGTAATCGATCTTTTACAAAAATGCTGTGCTTTTGGCAAAGCATCAGTATATGGTGCCCATAATTTTACAATTTCAAATAGTCTTCATAAAATTTAAAATTTATTTCCTGGCTGTTTGGAGCTAAATAATGATAGGACTCCAGATAATTCATAGTGGAAACAAATTTTAAAGTGTTGTAGCTTGCTTTGTGTGGATCTGGGACCTTGCAATCATTGCCTGAAGTTTAGATGTGATAATTCACAAAGCACTGCATTCATTTCACGTTTTGCTTCTATCCTCACAACAACATTAGCATTTATATAGCACTTTAAGATTTGCAAAAAATTTGCAAATATCTCAATTTATCTTCACAACAACTCTAAGAAATAGGTGCTATTATTATCTCCATTTTTCAGATGAGGAAACTGAGGCAGACAGATTAACTTACTTGCCCAGGGTCACATGGCTAGTAAGTGCATAAGGCTAGATTTCAACTCTGGTCTTCCTGACTCCAAGTCCAAGCATTCTATCCACTGCTGAACTAATAGAATTCTAGTAGACTTTTTTTTTTTTACCTCCTAACTCCACCAGCCAGAACAACCAAAGCATCACTAACACATTTGTTTGAAAAATCTGTCAGTTCTTATTCATTTCTTGTATTGAGCTAAAAGTTACCACCAAGTCCAGTTGTATTTTACTATCTCAGATGCAACTTCTTTGGAATTGGGAAAACATATCCTTTTGCATAACACTAACAACCCCATCTGTTGTTTGTATGCAGTATGCAACTAATATTTGTTTTATGCAACAAAAAAAAAACACCTTTGTCTTTTTCAGATACAGTTTTTATCTTCTATAACAATATACTTCTATTTTACTAAGGTCTAGTCTAGATGGTATATTAAGGCAGACTTCTTCCTATTCTCCCTTTATTAAGTCAGCTTCAGCAAGATGGCATCCTTTATCCTCCATTAAAAAAAAACCAAACATATTAATAGAGAAGAGAGATCTGTTTATCAGCAATGATGTAAGTATTTCTAGCAGGATTATTTAAAGGCCAGAGAGGTCTGTACTGTTCTGAGTGATAATTTCACCATTCTTACTACAGAATCAAATCCAGTATAATTTTGTGCAGATGTATTTTTCAATGTGTAAGTTAATCTTTTTTTTTTCTTTAGGGTAACTCCAAAAGCCAATTTTACTGAAACTCACCTTCTGCAGAGTAGCAACTTGCAGATACCCAGCACTTCACAACCAGGTAGTCCTAAGGGCTCTACATCACTGCTCATCCACTCTACTTTGGACACTGGGAAAGAACAGAGTTCTGGAAATAATTCAGATACTTGAAAAAGGAAAATCTCCACACAATTTCATTTAACTACTAACCTAGAAGGGGATTCATATTACACTGGAAAAGACCAATGAACTAAGCCTTACAAACACCTTTGTATACATCTCTCATTTTGCACATAGAGTTACATTGCTTGCTGTTACAATGGAGAGAAGGGATTTCAAGGATGCTGTGTCAGTTTATGAAGAGGTTAATGATAGCAAGAAACCCAAAAAACTGAATTGCACAGGTTTAACAATAACAGGACAGATATGGAGATGGTGGAGAGAAGAATCTTTCTCTTAAGTTGATGAACACTGTCTCTTAAAACTTATTGTAGGCTGACCATTTCACTTTTGTGAGATTGTCAAGATTTTATTTTACTGCAATAATTTTACTCTAACTCTTCCTACTTGTCTTTTTTATTTTAAGAGTAAGTATATAAAGGATTGCCAAAACTATTTAAATTTTGTACTATACTGCTGGGCCGTTATCTCATTTTAACACTGTCATTGGTAGTTTTTACACTGAGTTTTAAAGAGAAAATAGGGAGTGGAATGGAGATAATAATAGCACCTATCTTACAACATTGTTGTGAGGATCAAATGAGGTAATACATGTAAAGCACTTTGTAAACCATAAAGCGCTTTATAAATGTTAGTGACTATTAATATCATTATCAATATTCATTTTTCAGGGTAATATAAAAAAAGTGGCCCTCTAAAACTGTTTGTGACTTCATAGGTATAGGAAACCTCTTTACCAGTGCATCTGAGTACCTGCTCTGCGACTTCTGGTCTTAGAGAATAGTCAGGGCCACTTGAGAAGTGCAATGACTTGCCCCTTTGCCACTAGTATCAAAGGCAGGACTTGAATCCAGGTCTTCCTGGCTGCAAATTTACCTTTCTGTCTTCTATGCCATTCTTCCTATCAGAATGGTGATCTACCATCTAAATGTTCTTAAAATGACAATTTAAGTTTTTTGCCATCTGTCTTTAAAATCTAAAATCTGTAAATAATTTTGTATGCCTCAAATATTAGAAACTCCTACTGATATGAAGTGCCTATTGATTTTTAAAATTAAACAGATCTTTAGTGCAGCAGAATTTAAGGTGCTTTCTTCAAGTGTAACTAATGTGGTATTGTGCTGTTCATGACATTTCTGTAATCAATCCTTTTACTTTTTTTAAGCTCATTAAGACAATATTCTGAAGGATTCTGTGATGTTACCTTCTTTAATCAAGCTATATGAGATTGTGCTCCTCTTTTTTAAAAAATGTTTATGGGGGCAGCTAGGTGGCGCAGTGGATAGAGCACCAGCCCTGAAGTCAGGAGCCAGCCTCAGACCAAACATTTGACACACTTGACACTTACTAGTTGTGTGATCCTGGGCAAGTCACTTAACCCCACTTGCCTTTAAAAAAACAAAAGTTTATGATCTCCTAAAAATGTAATTAAGACTTTGACAGATAACTTGATTTTAACTCCCCAAAGGAAAATATTATTTTCAGTGATAAGGGGAAGTTTGTATGATAATTTTTATCAAAAATGGACAATAAAGCATGTAATGAAAATCAAGATGTTCTGCCTTTACAGAAAGAGGTATCAAAACTTCACAGAATTTTTTAATTGTATCTCTTATTAGTAATAGGTGTATTTTCAGTGGCACATTTAAAATAATCAAAATACTTTGTGTCACATGATTCTTCTTCAAATAAATTGTATAGAATTTACTCAGGTGCCTTAGGATTTTGCTAAACATTCACCATTATATATCAGTAATACTAGTGTCACTAAAATAAGAAATGTAGTTATGGTAAACAAAAAAAAAACTTTCCAGCATACTTTGAAATTTAAAGATATTTCTTCATGTCATTTTATTTCACACCAAATAAAATGTTTAGTAATTTATTGCCTTAAATAAGATTCCCTGATGCTTTTGATTTTTCCTGTTTATTTTGAATACACAGTTGAACTATAAAGAAAATATCCAATATGCTACATTAAAATATTGTAAATATTAATGTTTTTACATTTATAAATGTGAGCTTTGTATACACTTTCAGCTATATGTAACTTTACATACTTTGTCAACTATTTGTTTAATCTTTTCCATAATAAAATGTTGTTTGTTTAAGCCAGTTTTTCCAGAGTATTCTGTGGTTATAGGGATTGTTCCATTTTTTTCTTTTCTATCCCCAGTGTCTAGCACAGTGCCTGGCACATAATAGGTATTCAATATAAATGTTTGTTGACAGATTGATTATATGAACAGACCTGACCTGAGAGCAATATGGTTTCCTCTGTAAACTTCAGATCAAGATTTGAATTAGGTTCTCTGATATGTGCTTGGGGATAAGATGTCTGCAACACTTAATCATAATTTTTCAGGAAAGCCTTATATTGATAAACACATTTGTGTATATATGCAAGTATATGAAATCTGTAGTATCTAAATTGCTTCTAACAACATGAGTAAGCAAGACAAAGTTGTCAGTGAATAAACAAAGAGCTGGGAGATGTGAAGGGCAAAGGGAGGACCTAAAGGGTTCTATCATAAGGATTATAAACAGGATGCCCTGAAACAAGACACAGAGAACTACAGTAAAATAAAGTATGGGAGGTCTCAAAACAACATTTGACTCTAAATCTAGCATTCTACTATATGAAAGCTTAGATGTCCAGGTTTCAAGCCTGAATGCCATCTAGACAATTGTGGGGTTTAGAAAGAACTTTCCTAACAACTTTTATGAGGTAGGCAGTGAAAGTACTATTTTATAGCTGAGGAAAGTAACATTCATATCTATAAATAAGTTACACAAGGTCACATAGCTAGTAAGAAGTAAAGCTGGGACTTGTACCCAAGTCAGTGAACTGCAAGTTTAATGTCCTTTTCATTACACCACACAAGTAGTTTGGAGCAAGAAGTCCAGAGTATGGAGCATCTGGAATGGATATGTCTCTTTGAGGTTATAGAAGTGTCATTCTAAAGACAGAATGTCAAGAGAGTATTCCAACATGAAACTGAAATTCCATTCCCAAATGCCTGGGAGAATGTCTCCACTGTTGGAGAAATTACAGAAGAGGGGGTTAAGGAATTGGGCGGATAATTTACATGTTCTTTGCCAGGAAATCCAAGTGAAGGCATCAGAGACGAAGAATGACACTAGTTGCAAAGAAATGGGTAACAATGGAAAGGTTGATCTGAGAGTCATTTTAAAAAGTAAATTGAACATGACAAAAGAAGGACTAATTCAGACCTTCAGCAGATGCACGAAGATTTGTTGGTAACCAATGGTTATGAAATGAGAATGTGGAAAGTACATTTGATTATTTTTGTCTTGAATGTGTGAGAAAAAAGATGGACTGGTTATTTGATTCATAAGTATAAGAATAAACTGTGTCTGTGTCAGTGGAGGCTAGAAAAGAAAAAATAGAAGAGAATTAATAGCTGCCTTCAAGTATTTGAAGAGTTTTACCACAGAAGAGTGATTAGACTTGTTTTGCTTGGGCGTAGATGACACAATTAGAAACAATGGGGTGGAAGTTACAGAGAGACAAAAAGAGAAAAAACTTTCTCCTAATTAGAGCTCTCCCAAAGTGGAATGAGCTACCTTGGGATTTAGTGCCTCCCTCTCCATTGAATATCTTCAAGCTCAGGATGGATAGACACTTGTGACTGTATCAGGGGGGATCCCTCAATAACTGAATACCCTACCATTCACTTGATGAAATCACAAGATGTAAGGAGCAAGTGACAGAGACAGTGAGGTATAAGTGTATATACCTCTTTCAGATTTTGGGTGACTACATTTGGAGGATGTAGGGGCATACTTCTTTGGACTTTGACCCATTTGAACATGATAGGACAACAAATTCAACTGAGAACTGGCAGAAAAGATGACCTTACCCCTGGGTGGAGATCATCTGGATGATAGTTTTAGGAATCATACTACAGAGTCAGCTGATACAATGAGCTCTGAGGAAAGAATTCACTCTTCAATTTTTCCTTTGTGCTTCTTCCAGAATGTGGCCAAGCTTGGGTAGTAGGGGGAAGGGGAAGAAAGATTTCTCTTTCCCACATGTACATTTAACAATGATGTCTTGTGGCAGGAGCATGTAGTCATAGAAGAGGATGCATCAAGCAGGGAGCAGGTCTGGGGAGGTCAGCTGTAAAGTGGAATCAAGCAAGTCTTTGAGAGGAGTCAGAAGTCTGGCTCCTGGAGCAGGGGTCCTGCCAGCCCTAAATTGTAAGCCCTGCTTCTTTCTGAAAGCGTACCCCAGACCAGAATGTGAGCAGAGCCTGGAGGCAATGATGACGACAGCCAAGCACTGAAGCAGCTTCTAAAAAAGATTGAAAGACCAAGGTTGGTGGGAGCAATATAAGGATGTCATCAGCCCTGAAACACTGCAGCATCCAAGGTGTCCGTTTCCCTTCTTACATATGTCTTGGCTACATTTCCTACATGTGTGCTTCGTTAGTTGCAAGCTAAATGGGCATCCATTCTTCCCATGTACATTGCATCTGTTTGTGAGAGCATATACCTCAGGTCCTTGGATAGAGACTTTTTCAGGTATGGACTAGATTGCATCGGATTTCCCTTCCAACTCTGAATTTTTTTTTTTTTTGGTATTGTGATTCTATCAAATCTAATAACCCCTACTTACTCATAGTGAATCCTATGGACTAAGATCCTAAGAAGTAGTGCTAAGGATTTTGAAGCCCTGAGGAAAAGAACACTGCTCATGTACCTACCATGATGCTGATTAAAGGTATTAGACTCAGAAGAGAAAGGCAGGTTCAGGACATGAGTAGCTAGCTATGAACATAGTCTGAGGATGGGATTTGATTTCTAGATGAGAGCTTAAATCACAGGAATGATGGACCCCTTGGCTAGGGATGCAGTCTACCTAAGAAGGATTTGTAAAAACATAATTGCCTAGAGTCTTGCAAATTGGATGAATAAGACTTTAAAAAGCTGGGAGGAGGGGAGAGAAGCAACTTGTACATAGGAGGTACTCAGTAAAAGTTTGTTGAATTAAGGGAGAAAAGTGCCCAAAAGATCTTTCAAGTCTGGATAAAGAGTAGCAGGAAATAGCAAGAAAAAAAGCATTTCTGCTATAATAAAATGATGAGAGAGAGAGACAGAGAGAGAAAGAAAGAAACAGGTGAACAACCAAGGGCAGGGCTTTGAAAAACACTTAAGGGTGATATATGGATGAAAAACCAGCAAAGACTGAGTTGGATCAGACAAAAAAAGGAGGAGAATGAGGAAAAAGGAGTACCATTACAAACTAGAAAGGAGAGAATATCCAGAAAAGAGGGTGGTCATCAATGCCAAATGCAGTAAAATCTGAGCTGTCCTCCATTTGGGTGCAACTCCTTTGTCTTTGGGCTTTGTTTATAGCAAAAAATATCAAGATATAATTTAATTCCTCCAATAATATGTTGATTCATTGGTAATTAGACAAGGATTCCATAGAGTAACAACAGCCAAATTATACAGTTTATTGGATCTAAAAACTGTTATTCTTACATACCCTCTGTCCTCTTTTCCACCACTCTGCCACTATTACTGCAGAAGTGGAAGGGAGCTACAGGGCT